TTTTTTTTCCAGTACTGTCACGTTTTCTACAACATACAGCACAGTACCTAGTGGGAGCAGCTTTTTTCTCAGTCGGTGGAACGAAGTCCGGGAAATGTCTTTCCGTTAGTCTTAGCGGACCTATTGTTCTCAGCCGACTTTGGTGTGTTACCCTCGTTTCGGTGTGATATGTTTCTATTATTCTATCAATAAGAGTCAGTCGAAATTGTAAATTTGTTTTTTGGCCACCATTTTTCTTGTACATCACAAAAGAATTGTATATACAAAAATCTACTAAATGAAAAAATATTTTTCTATAGTACTTCTTCCCACCTTTTCTCGCCACTGCATAGTCATGGAGATGTTGATCTAACAGGTCAACACCCCCCATTGTGTCGTTGTAGTCGACAATGACCTGTGGCTTTACAACAGACTTACCGGCATGTGTTCGTGTGGTTACCATGGCAGGATTGTGGACTGTAGACAGTAAAGCTACACTTCGCTTGTCCTGCCATTTCATAACCATTAGCTTACCTCTCTGGAAAGCAATTGTTTCTCCCTTTTTCAATTTTTGCCTATGGATTACTGGCGGAATCTCTCGTCTTATTGTGCGTACGGTTCCATAAAAATCCGTTTTGCACGTGACAAGATAATCCGCCAACTGTGGGGAAGAGTAAAATCTATCTGTTGTTAGACAATAGCCCTTATCTAACAACGAATCAATTAACGTTAGCACAATCATTGAACTGACTGGCATATTTTTATACTTATCATCCAATGTAGTTGACTTGCCGGTATAAATTAGAAATTTATATAAATATCCTGATGAGGATTCACATAAATTATAAAATTTCACACCGAAACGAGACCGTTTCTGAGGAATGAATTGTTTCCACGAAAGACGACCCTTGTATAGCAACAAACTCTCATCGATGGATATGTCTCTTTCCGGTATATAAAATCGCGAAAATTTTGAATTTAGGTCTACAATTATCGGCCAAATTTTGTGCAGTTTAGGATTGGGGTGTGTGTCTGGGTTATAAGTGTCATTATTTATGAAATGTAAATTTTTTTTTATATTTCTAAATCTATTTCTCGAAATTACTCTGCCAAAAAACGGGGTGTGTAATTTGGCGTCTTTCGTCCAATACATCCTCTCCTCGGGTTTTTTTATAATACCTTGTAATATACATATACTAATGAACAGAAAAAATTATTCTGCAGTAAGTGGTGTCTAGTTACTGCGTGATGTTTGTGGCCGTTGAGAATGAAATCTATTTGTTTCATCAACAATATTATTGATAATATTTATATTAAAAAACAATTGGAAATAATCCAAAGGGTCACCCGTATTCCCAACGTCTACTGTCATTCCGGGATTTCCCACAAAAGGAAAACGCGGAGGAGCCGAAAATAGATTGTTCATATCTATTAGGCACCAGCTTTTTGTACTTGATGTGGATGCCACATCCATTTCCTATTCGCTTACATCCGATCCCGTCAGCCCACTAACTGCACTAGACCAACTCCCCTCAGACCCACTTGATGATCCTGGGATATATTCATTATCCGAATCAGAAGACATTCTGCCAACAAAATAAATTATCTAAAATCCGTTCTTTTATATTATGCACGAGAAAACAATTTTCCTAAAGTATTATAATGATAAGTAACTTACTTGATAAGTAGCAACAACACGAGTAAAAAAAAGCACACAAAAAAATTTCAAAATTTTCAACACAAAATAAGCACACTAAACAACTCAAGAGCAGAACTATGAGTGAGAAAAATTACAGAATTGTTCAAAGAAAAACAAAGGGTCAGAAATCCTAAGAACCATCATCTGGCATCTTTTATTGCAGTCATAAATGGTAACAATTGAAAACTCCATTTTCAGAAAACTTTGTACATACAGGACAATAAACATTTCCAATCAACTATTTTATTGCTGGTTCCCCATCTGAAAATTGCTAATTACTTGCAGATGTTCAAAAGATTCTACATAAATGCTTTGATACATAAATAAACGTAAAAAAAATATAAATAAAATATATTTTTCTACTAAAATATTTATTGCATAATATACATGAAAATCTTTCGATAAACTGGTTAATTGATTGGTTGGTTGATTTTTGTTTATTGGCACAAAAGCCATATAGGCTATTCTGCACCAGGGCAAATGGTTAAAAAATTTTAAACATGATAAATAACTAACATATGACAATAATAACTAAATAAATAAACAACAACACGAAAATAAATATACACATAGTAAGTACAAACAGACAACAACATGCGAAAATGAAATAAATATATGAATAAATAATTAATTA